GTGTTACTCCGGAGGGGCACTGAGGCCAGCAGCAGCCCAGGTTTATTTGAAGCGCATGTCCTGGAACATGTTTGGGATCCAGCTCTTCTGAGATGTTCTCAGGTGTTTGGGGCCCGGGACCAAAGTCAGAGAATGATTAACTTCCCTGCTTCCCCTTTGACGTGGGAACATAGCTTCTTTGGCTTATTCAGAAGCAAAATCCAGAGCGTGAGTAAACGGGGCCCGGCAGAAAAACAGCAGCCACGTGGCCATTCTAAAATGGAGTCTGTTCAACTTTCCTACCTCACCTTCACCCATCTCAATTGCCATATGAATAACAATTCACTCACTTATTAGTTAGAACTCTTGGTTATAAGCATTTTTTAAAAATGTGAGCAGGCTTAACAGAAAAAGGAACTGGGTGCCTTCAGCGCTGTTCAGTGTTGTAATGTCAGAATATGGCCGGCCCTCAGGCAGGGGCAGCAAGCAGCTACTGGTAGGAAGCAGGGTTCTTCAGGATCCCTTCACTCATCCACTTTCACTCTCTCTGGCTCTCTCTCTCTCTCTCTGTGTGTCTCTCCCTGTCTTTCTGTCTCGTTCCCTCTCTCTCCCTCCCACCCCTGTTCTCATGCTGTCTGTTGCATTCCACTCTTTCCACAGATTGATTTTTTTTCTGCTTCTCAGCTGACATGACAAGCAGAAGGTGGCTGCTCCGTCATGTTCTATTTTGAGTCCTTCATTCAGCAGACTTGTCCAAACTAAATTAGACAAAATTCTCGGGAGAGATGATACGCTCGGCCCTGTGTGGGTCAGCGTCCGTTCATCTGGGGTGAAGGGACCGGTCCACAGTACAGCTGCAAGCTCCCAGGTGTAGGTGGGGGAGGGGAGGACTGGCGGGCAGGGACTAAGGGATGCACTTGGAAATGGAGGGACACTCCGGAGGGTAGCTACCGCCACTTATTTACTTACACATCTTCAGACGTAAGGGCAGGACTCTGTTTTATTCACTAGTTTCGTGTCTGTATCAAGCACGCTGCCCATCCCATAGTAAATACTCAGTGCAGGCTGGATTTATGAATGACAGTTTTTACCATCACATTTAGTAAATAACAAAACCTTGGGTCATGGGGACAGCCTTTGAGAACCTTGTGATAATTAGCACATGAAATGGGACTGTCTCTTTTACGTCTACCTGGATCGTTTGAAATGTACCCAAAGGCGTGTGCTAGTGTGTGAAAAGAAACTTCTCCAATATAATTTCTTCTTTTTGATCAAATGCGTTTTTAGGTGGGATTCTTCCTGTTTGTAATTAATGGCATAAAGAAGAAGTGCATAGTGATCAAGGGGAGTCTTGAGGACGTAGTATTTGGATAGATAGATACTTTTTAGGCTCAGAGTCTAAATAATGCTAATATGGATTGAATACAAGCAATGGATACTTTAGAGTCTGTGGGCTAGTGATCCACTAGGGCTTTACAAAATCTATTCATTTGAAATGAAAAAGAAAATGATCTGGAGGTGGATTACTGGGAAAAGATTGAAGGCGGGAAGAAAACATTGAGTGAAAATCTAGCATTCAAGCTAGCTCTTCTCGACGGGAATAAACATTATACACCAGTCTCATCTTAATCAAAGCACCACAGGTTTTTGAGCAAAAAGGGACTTAGGGGAGCATATATTTTTTCCTTCTGCAGTAATATTAATTGACTTGACCAAAGTCACCTGGCTGACCTGAAGCATCAAGGGACCCAAATGTCCAAGCATGCGGATGTCCTGGGAGAAGTGGCTCTTTCTTCCCCCTAGAGCCTGTCATTTGCCGTTTCAACGGGGAGAATTCTCGGCCAGCAGTGATTTAATCTTATGCAATAAGTGCTGTGGCTTCTGGGACTTCTGTCCTGTAGTCTTGGCAGGCAGCAGGATGCCCTGAAGCTTATCTCTGCAGCTCAACTCCAACACTGTGATATTTGCTCTTTCTGCCAGCTGCTTTTCTTGCCCACTTTTCCAGAAAGGCACTAAGCTGGGAAGTCTGACACAAACTGCCGATGTCTAGTTTTATGCATCTTCCAGCTACCTTTTCCAACTCAGTCACATAAATATCTTTCCATTTAGGTCTATTCACCAGGCTGCTGCTTTCCAAAATGGTGGTGTTGCAACCCCCTGGGTGTTGCAATGGGTTGTCAGCAGTAGGGCAAATCATTGCTTACTAAAAATAGAGTCCCGAGGTCTGCAGAGGACTCGCTTTTCAATATATAAATTAAAGAGAACTCAAGTTAATCCCTGTGATGTGTCACACTCAGTCACCCTGAACATACTTTCTCATGAAAGCCCGTAATTGTTGGATGGGTATGCGTAGCCTTTATTTGCAAGGAAGCCATTTTTAGCTCACAACTCATGGTGTCTGTCTTTCATGAATGCTCCACCCACAAGATAGTACAGAGTTCAGGATCAGGCAGAGTGGCCCCATTACTCCTAACTATCTGTCTGACCTTGAGCCAGTCACAGCCTCTCTGTATTTTCCCTCTAGTAAGTTGGAGGGAATATGCACCTTGTTGGTTGCTGTGAGTATTAAATAGTGTGTATTAAAGACACAGAACAGTGCCCAGGACCTGGTAAAGGCTGGTTTTGTAGTAGCCGTTACTATTTATTTCTGTGGGTATTTTCTGAGGGTTTTCCTTGATGTTTTACCAGTTGTTTTGGGCATAAAGAACAAATACATCATTACTGTGTTGAATAATGCCCACACATAAATATATAGGGTGCCTCCACCTGGATTTCTTTTGTTTTCAAGATACTTAAAATTCCATTGCCCTCTTCCTTGGCTAACACCAGAAATATGTCTTGGGCTTGGGTAGCTCCAGGAAAAATGAGATTTGGCACAAGCTGCTGTTCTCCGAGATATTTCACGACTCTCTTCACGGGCTCCTCATACTTGCACCTGGATTCATTTCTCCTTCCCTACAGCCATCCCTTTTCAGCTCTTTCTGTTTCTGCCTAGTCCGGGGAGCGTGGGAAAGAGGAGATTCCTGCTCAGGTTTTCCAAGCTGTGGCAAAGCTGGATCCGGGCCAGGGGGAGGAACAGGAGTCTAGGAGGCAAATCCCTGGCCTTCCAGGCTGAAGCTCCAAACTGTTTTCCAACCAATGCTGGGCACTTGTGCACTGTGGGTTAAGTTGGCATCTGTGACCTGATTGAAGTGTTGGAGAGGCCACAAGAGAGAGACTCAAATAGAGAGTGCTATGGACAAAGGTCTGTCTCTGATGTGTAAAAGCCACTTTTGAATTTGAAAGGAGTGACATCCTACATTCCTTGCTACCTCATTGTTTTTTCCTTTTACTATATGGACCCTACATAAGATACATTAATATACTGTATGCTAAAAGTCTATCATATAACCCAGGAATATGAATAAAGATCATTTCCTTTTCTCCTAAGGTTGTGGGTCTCTGCCTTACTGTTTTGCAGTCACCTGGGGAGCTTCTAAGAGGTACAGATGATTCCCTTCCTGACTTCATTGGTTTGGGTGAGGTTTGGACACTGGCATTTCTTAAAGGCTTCCAGGTAAGGTTAATGTTGCCAGAGCTCCTGAGATGAGACCTGGCAGACCTATGGTATTTGCTGAGCAGTTGTAGATTTCCCCAACCTTGTTCCCCCAACTTCAGGCTCCAAGAAAAGGGTCAGGTGACACCAAAGACATCTCCCTCAGTACTCAGAATCACACATCTGTGTAACCTTTTAAGTTTTATAAATAGTACGTGGTCTATTGTTATCTACCTTACTTTTTTCTTTTTTTCTTTTTTTTGGCAGTATTTTCAAGACCTGTTTCCAAGATCCTTCTTAAACTACTAAAGAAGAATTATTAGGGACATGCAAGAGCTATTTCTCCAAAATATGACTCAAGAAAAAAAAAAAAAAAGAATGAAGGATGAACTTTGTGAAAATGTATCTCTATTGCTTTTTTCACTTTTTTTCTACAGGCAAAATCTGCATACTTCTCCTGAACGTCTCCCTTACAAATGTACAGATTATTAAATACTAATAAGAAAGGAATTTGAGAAAAATGTTTATTCGTTTTCAAAAAAAAAATGCAAAATGGAAGCAAAATATTGAATAGGTGCTCGTGGTCTGTCAGGCCCCGAGACACCCCCCAGCGTTGGCCTGGGTGCTGGGCTTGTGCCGCCCAGACCCTCCCTTCAGGTCTGCAACCAGGGGTGTAGGTTGCTGAGGGCTTTGGGTCCCTCTTTAGGAACTGCTCTTGGATGTGCACTTTCCCTGGAGATGCCATGCTCAGATCTCTGCCCCTGCTCCTTGCAAGCAGCCAGCACCAATAATCAATTGATGTGATATCAAAGGCTTGTGACCCTTGCCACAATTTGGGATGATTTTGAAGGGCCATCCTAGCTCCAGAGCTCCCTGTTGGATTGGCCAAAGCCTCTGTGGCAACCACATTGCGGCTCGATTTCTCTTTGCCCAATTGCACCTTCCTCACTCTCTTACAGGTTTTGTTCTTGAGAGCACCCCCCTCCCCCAACACACTGCCCGCATGCAGATTTTCATCTCAGAGTCTGCTTCCTGGGCCACGTGACCTACCACGCGGTTTCCTTCCAGGAACCCTATAGTCTGACGGAGAAGTTGGACAAATAAACAGGCAAATAGACTGTGTGGTAAGTAGTATGACAGAAGACAGTCTTGGTTACTGGCTGTAGAGCCCAGGGGAAGGGAGAGGAAAGTTCCTACAGGAACGGATTTCTAAGTGAGATATGAAGGATGACTCAGCTGTCCTAGTGAAGTGTTAGGGGCAGGGTAGGCAGAAGTGGGGCAGTTCAAGAGAAGACCACACATGCAAGTCCAGGGGAATTGAGGGCACAGAGTATTGGGGCGACATCAGAGACGAGGCTGGAGAAGAAAGAGCAGGGGGAGGGAACAGTATGTCACAGATCATGACGGCACATGACGGCAGTGTAGTAGATCATGTGGAGGAATTCGGGAGGGATGAATGATTTTTTTTTTTTTTAAAGGAGCAACATTATCAAATTCTCATTTTGGAAACAGTCATCTAGAAGACGGATGGGCAAAAGAGAAGATGCAAAGTGACCGGTTAGGAGGTGCTGCCGAAGGCCATGGGAAAAATAATGGTGAGTCATGGCCATAAGGATGGAAAGAAAGGAGTTTATTTGGGAGACATTTATGAGACAGAATCAGTAGGTGTCTGTGATTGATGGGATGAAGAAAGTAAGAGAGAAGAAATAAGAATGACTCCCTGGAAAGGGGGATAGAGGGAGTCCTGGTGGATTTACTGAGATTAGGACACTAGAAGAGAAGCAGGTCTGGATTTGGGGGTTAAGGTGCCAAAAAGACATGTCAGTGTGTCATCAAATGCTCAGTTGTGGATACGGGTCTGAGACTCAGAGAGGAGATCAAGGCTGGAGACAGAAATACCCATCAAAGAGACAGCAGTGAGAATGCCCAGGGAATGTATACAGAGTCAAAATGGGAGAAGCTCCTCTTTGAACCCGCGGGGACATCAACATTTAGTGAACAAGAGGAGCTTTCAAGGGAGATTGGAAAAGAACAGCCAAAGGGACACAACAACCAAGTGTGTGGGTCAGAGAAGTCAAAGGAAGGGTGTGGTCAGATGACAAGATGTGAACCTAGCAACAGGGAGGTTATTAGCAATCTCTGGGTGAGCAGTTCTGCAGAGGGTTGGAGGCAATGCCAGACCTCCGTGAGCTTGAGTGGGAAATGAAGAAGCAGAAATAGTAGATCTAAGGAACTCTACCAGAATGAGTCTGAATGAGGCAAGGAGAGGGAAAAGGCCATTGCCTTGAGGAGTTGTTGGTTTGGAGGAAGGTTCTAATTAAAATAGGGCAGGCCTAAGGCTATTTGAAGGCAGCCCAAACAGCGGAAAGGTGCCCAAGCAGTAGTTGGCAGAGGGAGGCACCAAGATGGTGGCATAAGATAGGAGACGTTGGCTGTGTATGGAAAGCCCCATCCTCCTTAGGATGGAAGAAATGAGGATATTGGGTGAGTTTGTGGGTACATGGGAGAACAGGCAGACAACTCCTTCTGATAGTGGCCAGTTTCTCTGTAGTGTAGGAGGAAAGATCATTTTCTGGGAGTATGGGAATTGGTATGAGGGTAGCAGGCTTGAGAAACTAGTTGTCTTAGTTAACTCAGGCTGTTATGATAGAGCACCATAGCCTGGGGGGTGGGGGGTGGGGGCTGTAAACAACAGAAATTTCTATCTCATTGTTCAGAAGTAGGGAAGTCCAAGATCGAGGCACTGACAGATTTGGTGAGAATCTTTCCTGGTTCATAGATGCCCTTCTTTTTTGCCGTGTCCTTATAAGAAGGAAGAGGTGGAGGAACTCTCTGAGTCTCTTTGATAAGGGCACTAATCCCATCCCGAGGGCCCCAATGATCTTCATGATCTAATCGCCCCCAAAGGCCCCCGCCTTCAAACACCACCACCCTGGGGATTACATTTCAACACATGAATTTTGTAAAGACACAAATATTCAGCCCATAGCACCAGCGAACATTTGCTACCCCTGCTCTGGAGAATGGGATCGGGGACCATGGAAGGATTTCAGGCAGCACGTAGGGTTCAGCTGCTGATGGAAACTAAGGGTTCCCAGGGGTTACTTCCTTCCATGTTGTAGGATTTGTCCCGTGTTTCACAGCAGCACAGGTGCAGATCTGAAGTCGGACAGTGACGTTTTGCCAGGTTGGTGAGAGAGGAAGGCCATGCAGGGGAGAGGTGGGGATCTTGGCACAGAAAGCTGCAATAATGGGCCCTGACTGTCAGGATGGAATAATCAAGAGACTTAGAGGCATTGGAAGTGGGGTTGTTTGCATTATAAAATGCAGAGGCAAAGCCAGTTGGGGTGGTGACAAGGATCAGGGTGAGTCCATGAGAGTGGGTGGATGACACAGAGTGTGAGTGCAGGTCACCGGAGACAGGGATGTCAGGGAGCTGGGAGGCTGGGTGTTAGATGGGTGTGGAGGTCGCTCGGAGCACTGGGGAAGACTGAGCAGGCTGGGGCCAGGGCTCGAGGAAGTGCCCGTGCGGGACACAATGATGAAGGGCAAAGATGACTTGGAATTCAGAGGAGCTCTCCAGGTGGCAGAAAGGAGCTCTGGGGAGAGACAGAGTGGCCTTGTGGGGGAATGAACCTATCACAGGAGAGGGGGGCCTCTGGAAAGAGCTGAGAGGTGGAGGCTACTGAGAAGAACTGAGTGTGTCAGAGATGGATTGGTGGTCTCAGGGAGCACGAGGTAAGGTTGCGTAGAGGCAACAGTTTAGGGGTGAGAGGAAAAATTGCGCAAGGCATCCAGGTGCTTACCCTGGAGAATGGAGACAGGAGACTGACTGTACAATGTGTAGGTCGGTCAGTTCCTTACCTGATCCATACCTGGGGGCCTGGGGGCAGGTGAGGGGCTCAGGCTTCTGGCTGGGAGTCAGCAGAGGCCAGTCAGATGCAAGCGAGTCCTGGCCCAAATCTGAGCCTGGGGGTGGAATTCATTGGCTCCAAGTATTTCTTTTCTTTTCTTTCTTTTTTTCGTTTATTTTGAGAGAGAGAGGGAGAGAGAGAAAGAGAGAGAGAGAGAGAGAGAGAGAGAGAGAGAGAGAACGAGTCAGGGAGGGCCAGAGGGAGAGGGAGAGAGAGAATCTCAAGCAGGCCCCAAGCTGTGCTGTCAGCGCAGAGCCTGTTGTGGGGCTCCATCTCACAAACCGTGAGATGGTGACCTGAGCGGACAAAATCAAGAGTTGGACGCTTAACCAACTGAGCCACCCAGGCGCCCCTGGCTCCCAGTATTTCTCAAGTCACGTGGGTGTGAGGGTCACTCGGCATCCCTCAAGCAGGAGCCTGCTCAGGTCTAGATAGATTTGTGGGGCTTTGAGAGCCAGGAGCCATGTTGAGACACCCTGGGCACGTCATGCTTCAATCATTACTTCATTGATTCATTCTTTAATCCATTTATTTATTCCTGAAACTTACATCAGCTGTTTCTTCCCTTCCTCGTTCCAAAAAGGATTTAAGATGTTCATACTAGCACCCACTATATACCAGGCACATAGGGTTTCGGAAATACGCTGTGCCCCATCTGTAATGCCTTTTCCATGTTTCCTTCTGTTCAAAGTCCATTGTTCGAACAAGGCCTAGACCAAGTTTCATCTCCTATCTGCAAACTCGTCCATCATGTCAGCCACGGTCTTCTCTCCTTAGAGCTCCTTCAGTACTTACACTCTGGATCACATACTTTCCTGCATAACCATACTTTGTTCTAGCCTACCCTGCCTCTCTGACCAAGCTGCAAGCCCTTTGGGGATGGAGACTTAGTATCTGAATTTTTAATGTCTCTAATGTCTATTGAGGCACTAGGGACATAGTGAGCCCTCAGTGCCAGAGACTGCAGCTTGGAGAAACACGGACCTCTGCACTGGAGTGGCTCCTGGTGATGCACTATAACTAGGACTAATAATGCACTCCAGGCCTTTCTCAGGAACACCCATTTGAGCATGAACAGTTTAAATTACAAGGTCAGCTACCAGAGAGACGGAAGATAAAACTTAAAAAGCAATAAAGTAGCAATTTACATTTGTTCTCACCAGAGACTAAAGGAATACATTATAACACAGTGACAAGTTAATGTTGGAGCTTTGCTGGAAGTTGAATGTTACACAGATCTACGTTGTGGCACCCATTTTAAATTTTTGGGAAGTGTTCTGGGATTTGCAGTTTCTTCTCTTGACAGGAGCTACTACTGAGAAATCTAGAACTTGCCAGAATCTAGAACTTGCCCCCAAGACACTTCTCCAATAAAGGGATCAAGTGACCTAGTCCAAGGAAATGAGAAATAGATGCCACAGTCAAGATTCTCCTTTTGCTTCATTCTGTGGGCAGGAGTGCGAGTGGGAGGAAATGCAAGAAATTTGGAAGTTTTAATGTTTTTATTTATTTATTTTTATTTTTGAGAGAGAGCGAGAGTGAGTACAAGTAGGGGTGGGGCAGAGAGAGAGAGAGAGAGAGGGAGAGAGAGAGAGACAGACAGACAGACAGACAGAATCTGAAGCAGTCTCCAAGTCTGGAGCTGTCAGCACAGAGCCCAGCTTGGGGCTTGAACCCACGATCTGTGAGATATGATCTGAGCCGAAGTTGGACGCTCAGCCAACTGAGCCACCTAGACACCCGAAATTTGAAAGTGTTAAATGGGGTCTTTAAAATGCCAGTGTAGGGGCGCCTGGGTGGCACAGTCGGTTAAGCGTCCGACTTCAGCCAGGTCGCGATCTCGCGGTCCATGAGTTCGAGCCCCGCGTCAGGCTCTGGGCTGATGGCTCAGAGCCTGGAGCCTGTTTCCCATTCTGTGTCTCCCTCTCTCTCTGTTCCTCCCCCGTTCATGCTCTGTCTCTCTCTGTCCCAAAAATAAATAAAACGTGAAAAAAAAAATTAAAAAAAAAATAAATAAAATGCCAGTGTAGGGCGCCTGGGTGGCGCAGTTGGTTAAGCTTCCGACTTCAGCCAGGTCACGATCTCGCGGTCTGTGAGTTCGAGCCCCGCGTCAGGCTCTGGGCTGATGGCTCAGAGCCTGGAGCCTGTTTCCGATTCTGTGTCTCTCTCTCTCTGCCCCTCCCCCGTTCATGCTCTGTCTCTCTCTGTCCCAAAAATAAATAAACGTTGAAAAATAAATAAATAAATAAAATGCCAGTGTAGAGAAACAAGGAAATTGGTTCCTAACATAGTCTTCTCTTGACCAAATTTTGCTTTTCATCACCCATTTAACAATGTTTCCTTGGTTGCTTAATGTAGCTAAGCTTTATTTTGGCGCATTTACTTGCCTTCCTTTATTATTTTATGCTCACTTCCCCTCTTTAACCTCCTCTCTCTGTGCCCAAAGTTAAAAAAAATTTTTTTTAATTAAAAGTTTTTATTTCAAACGTCCAAAGCATAGCTTTTAGTGAGGGAAAGGATTGGATTTGCACCCTGGGGACCAAACCCAATGAGTGGTTGTTCTGTTGGGTTTCTGTGTCTGTAATCTGTCTGCCTTGACCCAGTATTTCTACAATGTCACATAAGGAAGTACCTTCCTGGTGCATCTGTAACTCTTGAAAAGCACATTAAAGGTGGCTACT